TTCCAACCCAACACAACCCAACCCAACCTTTCTACAGTCCAAGGATCTTCAAGGACCCTTCCAACTCGCCCCACCTCCTGCTTCTATGACCTTCCAGGACCCTCCCAAAACAACCTTCCCGTGGTTCAGTGACCTTCAAGGACCCTTTCAACCCAACTCAACCTTCCTACAGTTCAAGGACCTTTAAGGACCCTTCCAACTCAACCCACCTCCGCTTCCATGACCTTCAAGGACCCTTCCAACCCAACACAACCCAACCCACTCTTTCTACACTTCAAGGATCTTCAAGGACCCTTCCAACTCGCCCCACCCCCTGCTTCTATGACCTTCAATGAGCCTTTCAAAGCAACCTTCCTGTGGTTCAGCGACCTTCAAGGACCCTTCCAACCCAACCCAACCTTCCTACAGTTCAAGGGCTTTCAAGGACCCTTCCAACTCGCCCCACCTCCCGCTTCCATGACCATCAAGGACCCTTCCAACCCACCACAACTTTCTACAGTTCAAGGATCTTCAAGGACCCTTCCAACTCGCCCCACCTCCCGCTTGTATGACCATCAAGGACCCTCCCAAAACAACCTTCCCGTGGTTCAGTGACCTTCAAGGACCCTTCCAACCCAACCCAACCTTCCTACAGTTCAAGGATCTTCAAGGACCCTTCCAACTCGCCCCACCTCCCGCTTCTATGACCTTCAAGGACCCTCCCAACTCAACCCACCTCCCACTTCTACGACCTTCAAGGACCCTTCCAAAACAACCTTCCCGTGGTTCAGCGACCTTCGAGGACCCTTCCAACCCAACACAACCTTTCTACAGTTCAAGGGCCTTCAAGGACCCTTCCAACTCGCCCCACCTCCCGCTTCTATGACCTTCAAGGACCCTCCCAACTCAACCCACCTCCCACTTCTACGACCTTCAAGGACCCTTCCAAAACAACCTTCCCGTGGTTCAGTGACCTTCAAGGACCCTTCCAACCCAACTCAAACCAACCCAACCTTCCTACAGTTCAAGGGCCTTCAAGGACCCTTCCAACTCGCCCCACCTCCCACTTCTACGACCTTCAAGGACCCTCCCAAAACAACCTTCCCGTGGTTCAGTGACCTTCAAGGACCCTTCCAACCCCACGCCGCTCACCGGTAGAACTTCCAGATGCGCAGTTTGATGTCGGCCTCGTTGGGTTTCCCGTTGCTGCGGATGTGGCAGAAGATCTCCTTGATGCGCCCCACACGAAAAGGGTCGGGGGCATCCAGGTTGCTGCCCTTGATGTACTCGGAGTACTTCCGGTAGTGCTCGGGGTGCAAGTCTTCGTCCACAGCCTCTTTTTTGGGGCGCTTGGCCGGGCTGGCGGGCTTCATGCTGGGGGGCAGCGGAGGGAAAACGTTGGGGGGGGGCATTTTCCCCCAAAGGAACGACTGACAGAGGACGCTGCCCCCAAAACGACTCAACGCAGAGCATTTCTACCCAAAATGAATCAACTCAGAGCATTTTTACCCCAAATAACTCAACTCAGAGCATTTTTACCCCAAATAACGCAGAGCATTTCTACCCCAAATGAATCAACGCAGAACATTTCTACCCCAAATGAATCAACGCAGAACATTTTTACCCCAAATAACTCAACTCATATCATTTTTACCCCAAAACGACTCAACGCAGAGCATTTTTGCCCCAAAACAACTCAACTTACAGCATTTTTGCCCCAAATGACTCAACGCAGAGCATTTTTACCCCAAATAACTCAACTTAGAGCGTTTTTCCCCCAAAATGACTCAACTTACAGCATTTTTCCCCAAAAAAA